GAAGTCAGAGCAGGCAGAACCAGAAAATGGGAAATTTTATTATCTGAGAATTATTTTGTGCATTAAATTGAGTGAACATGGTCTGGATAGCCCACAGACATACCATAAAAATTTCTAGGACTCATAATTGGTCTCCTTTAAATAAGCTAAACCAAGATAGTAAACATTGMACCTGCTAAAACTGTCAATTTGTGTTTATTTATAAAATGATAGTCTGTGATAACTTGATGTAAACAGGCRTTTTTGCATTGTTTTCATCTTAAATATCATAATCTGATTAGCATGCTAACTGGCTAAACAGTTGGTTAACATTTGTACAACATTTAGTAAATTCATAAATTTATGTTTGTTACCTTTTCAAAAAAAATTTTTCTTTTGTTTTCTAAAAGCCCTGTCACACTAAAATGTTTTAAACAATTTATATAAAGTTTGTCCAACACTAAAGTTGTCTAAATAGTAGATGGAATAAAAAAAAACTGGAAAGTTCTTTTATACATATACATACTGTAATGCTAGCTRTTAGATCAAATATAGAGCAAATATGAGTAAAATAGTCCTAACTACATTTTCACAAGTCGTCTTAAATGTTATCATGTGACAGGACCTTAAAACTGCATTTTCTCTTTGAGTGGCTTAAAAATGACACTTTATTGAGAAAAATACTTTGAATAATCCAGTTTAGTCCATCATTGTATTTGATATTTATGTATTTTCTTTTCATGGACTAACTATTGTCCTGAAACACAGAGTATGAGAGGAGAATTATTGTTTTTAATCTAATTTATTCAAGCTGTTCTTCAGCAGAGCATCTACTCCATACTGACATTTTGACACTTACAGTAGGTCATTTCTTAACGTCATTGATTTAGTTTAGTGTCTGTCTGCTTGCTGTTACAGAGATGCCAGCGGGAGCACTCACAGTCGGCTCAGTTCAGCTTGATAATGAAGAAGAGCTGAGTAAGATGATGCTTGCCCGACACATGTCAATAAAAGACAGGTGAGGGCTTTGCTTTTAAGAATGCTGTGAATGTTCTGTATAGAGCCTGTGCAGCTTATAGCTGTTGTATTTGACTGCAGTGGTCCCTGTGTTCTTCTCTTTAACTGAGTGCTGCTGTCATGTGAAATCACCGGCTCAACTCACCTGCATCACCAGATCCTAAGAATCTATCTGGAAACWTTTAGAATGGCCCAGTGAAAAGAGTCACACCTGTGCCGAGTCGAGCTCATGGAAAAAAGGCTTTAATGAGAGAAATGTTTGTTTGTACTCATGCTGTACAACAGTGTTTCCCAAAGTTGGGGTCCTGAAAATATTTTCTGAATTAATGACATTTTTGCCTTAGTTGTTACAAAGGAGTCAGGTTTAGTGTATTTAAAATGAATAAATGTAGTATAAAAATATTGTTACTATGCCCATTTTTAGTTGACCTGATACAAATGTTTATCATCCAAAAATAGTTGGGGGCACAGGTCTCTGCTACTGTTATTTTATGGATCAAAAACTGAAAAGCTTGGGAACCACTGCACTTTGGTTCCCAAAGTTGGGCTTGGGACCCAATAATGGGTCATGAAGCACCTTGGATAATCTCCAGAAATCATTTTAAAGGGTAAAAAAATAATTGCTGATGTAATATTTTCCCTACAACTATTACAAAAACACACAAAAGAAAGTTTAAAGAAGTATTTATATTTGTGTACAAGCTGTTTATAGATTGTCAAAAAGCCTGTGTTTTTTTAGGCATATTAACAAAGTTTGTGTACTCAGACCAGTAATATTTGGGGTCACAAGTTTTCGCCATGGATATTTTGTGGGTCAGAAGATAAAAAGTTTGGGAACCACTGCTGTACAATATGCGGGACAAAGTGTAACTAACTCTCCCTTGTGAAACTAAGCCCACCCCAAAGCAGAATTGAAAAATGCCAACAAAGTGGGCGGGGCCTGAAATGTGGGGATTAGCAAGGAGATGTGGCCAGGATGAGAGAACATGACAGCTAGCTTAATTTGACAAGCTAACATTKATGAATGTTCTAAAGAAATTATTTTAAAAAAGTAAAAGTTTCATGACATACATGCAAACTTCGCTGTTACAAACTAACTATTCAGTGAACTCCTCCTGTTCAAAAATGACTTGGGTCCAAAACAGAGCAGAAAATTTTTTATTTCTCTTTGATTCAACGTTTCATTCAGAATAAACATGACAGCTCAGTCAGACGTGTGTTCTCTCCCACTGATCATTCAGGACACGAGGCTCTTTACCTCAGCCTCGGCTGAGCTCTGTCCGTTCCACACCACCCTGGATGGACAGAGGTGACGTGGACCTGAAAAGTCCCTGCGCTGCCGAGGCTCTGTTTCAGCGAATTCTCGAGTCACAAACAGTTTTATATAAATCTCATGTCACATTGGTTTTAACGTCCCAGCCTGTTGGAAAGAAAGAGCATCAATAACAATCTGAATTGATCGATGACATAATGGAGCTACGTGGTGGTTTGTATTGATGGGTGTTTGCTGTTAGATGTGCTTTTTGTTACATTTCACTCACCCTTTGGCCACATCAGGACTATTCCAGATCACTTTTACTTTTAGAGCATTTTGCTGAAGGCAGGAAGTGTGAGTCTCTTTATTTCATTCAGAGACATGGTCCTTTCTGTTTGAAGACAAAAAGCTAAAGCCTCCTGGTGTGTTTGTAATTAGAATTGTTCAGTGTGTTCTTGGTCAGTAAAATGAGGTTTTTTAAAGCTATTTTTGGGGGATCCACTTAAGATAAAGTCAAATGTACTGTTGTAAAATAAACTGAAAATTAAACATTCCTTTCTGTGCTTGTCAGGTTGGATAAGTTACCAAAACTAATTTAACAGGAGCAAATGTATTTCTCCACCCACACTGTSCTTTTTTATGTCCCTTCTTTAGCTTCACAAGGTCATGTGACTCACAACATAAGCTTGTTCTTTTTTACAAAAATATAAAACGTGCAGGTCCACAAATATCTGACATGCATTTGTGCACAATAATAAAATCTGAAGGAAGAAATCAGTTGTGTCCACAGAGACAACAGGACATAAGCAAACTTCTGATGTAACCACGAAAACTGAAAGATTTTAAATGTTTTCTGTTTGCAAGGAGAATAACGGTAAGAATTTGTCAATGTGCATCAAGTTTTCCTCAGTCTAAAGATTATTTAGAACCATGTTTTCGATTTAATTTGATTCAGATTAATACTTTTTTGTGGTCACTGAATAACTGATCTGTATCAGCTTTACAAGCATTTGAAGCTCTAAATAAAAACATTAACAATTAGAAAACATGTTTAACAAATCACTTCCCTAAATAAATATTCTTCAGACACATTGATTTATTGTGATTTTTTATAAATTAGTAGCTACTAAAATGATCAAAGTAAACTATTAGCATCATCAGAAAGTTAAAATATTTTGATTTTAGTAGAGTAATAAGAACAGAATTCCTTCATGGAGGATAAAATCTACAAAAAAGCAGGAATTCTGACCACTACACTAAAGAGGATCCAGTTCTACAAGCTTCACTGGAAGCTACATTTTACACCCTCTGTCTTCGGGCACACTTGTGATGTTAGGAGGTCAGTGGACCAAATTGTCAGGCTGATAAAGCTCGAATTAGTCGAAAGTCGAATTATTTTCTTTATTTTCTTTCTTCGTTTTTCCAAAATTGGGAGGATCCTGATCCACCCAACTCCCCAAGAATTTCACCAGAGGCTACTCCTGCAGTTTGTATTTGCACATAACCATATATTAGTAAATTTATGCATAATGCAAAATTGAAAAACATGTAAGATTATAAACTGTTGTTTGCATGCATGTCTATAAATGTTTTCTGATTATTGTTTTAAGGTTTTACAGCAGCTCTTTCTTCAGACAGTTTAAAAATTCATACAAGTCTTAAATCTGTTTAAAGCAGGGGTGCCCAAACATTTTGCCTGAGAGGGCCAAGATTAAAAATCATTTTCCCTGAAAGGGCCAAAATTAAACTCAGTCTGAGGTTGACGGGCCAAACACAATAATATAATACATGAAATGCAAATACTTCAAGTAAAGTTGTATTTTTTATGATTAAGCTAGCAGCCAGTGCGGTTGCCCTCATTTTTTGTTTGTTTTTTTTTCAGCCCATGGACATGGAGAAAATTCAACGTTTGCTTGGCAGCAAAGGCTCATGGGACTTTTCATAATTTAAAATTTGAGTACCCGGTATTTGCGGTCTTAAATAAGGTGTGGAAATCTAGGTATGGACTTAAATCTAATATAAATGTCTCTTGAAGTTACTTGTATTTTAAGTTTAATCTTAACATATTTCAAGGATAAAGTACCACCATGAGTTAGGACYATCTGACTACAGCTCCTTGTACCTATAGTTGGACCAATGGTTGAAAAGATTAAGTGTAAATATAGTATATCTACATAAAACTGGAGATTACAATCTAGGAACCAGGACTACTTCTAGTGGGCCAAATCAAATGGCTTGGCGGGCCAAATTTGGCCCACGGGCCCCACTTTGGGCACCTCTGGTTTAAAGTACTCTTCTTAGTTTTCCTGAGCTAAGCCTCCGATGTTTTCYCTTTTATTAGGGTTGCCTTGTTAAAGAAGAGCGGCGAGCAAGACTGGAGGAACAGGATCAGTAAGCAGCAGGATGTGGTGAAAGTTGCAGAGGGCGACCAGGACGCTAACTTCTGGGAGGCAGAGCAGAAGTTCAAGAAGAAGGTAACAACCTCACTGCTGACTTAACAGTTCAACAGAGCAGCCTGAGACCAGCTCGTGTTGCAGGGACTGTATGCTTCATGTGTAAGATGAGGACTAAAAATGACCTCTGTGACAGAAACATCCAAACTGTAGCTCAGTCACTKCAGGCGTGACACTTTTAAAACAAGTCCAGAATTTTTCTAATTCATCTGCAGCAGCAACAACACTGGGATTACGTTTTCTCTTTGAATGTTAGTCAGATCGACAATAAGCTTTTCTTAGACCAACGCCTAAATCGAAACATTTATTGATCTTTTATCTTTGAATTAAAGTAAAATCAGAGATAGAACGCATCTGTGGTAACAGTTTGTCTAAACAGAGAGGTTGTGTATTGTCCATGTTGGTGTCCTTTCATCTGTCTGTCTTCTTCTCTGGTTTAGAAAAAACTTACGTATTTTTGTTGTTGGACAACGGAGCCTGTGGGGGGACACGGGGGGAGATTTTAATTTTTTTTCTTTTGCATTACCTCGCAATATTGTTTTACGTTCCTACGCACAAAGTTTAATGTTTTGTAAATCAGACTTGTATTTTGAAATATCTGGTTACCAAAACAAGATGTGTTGTCACAAGTTTGGGAATATTGTGTGGCTGCATATTACACACCTCCACGCGTGGCTGGTATATATTCATTTCAAAGCTGAATTAAAGTAGTAGGCTAACTCCTGTTTAATGGTGAGCATGTGAAATTGTTAAACAAATAAGCAACAGTGATAAATTACTTTTGCGAGGGAACGCAAAAAGTATTGCGAGGTAACACAATAGTAATGTGTGGAAATGCAAGAGAAAAATCCCCCATGTCTCCTCGTGGGCTCCATAGTTGGACAATGTCAAGTTTTGTGCAGTCCTGGCAGTAAACACAGTAGTATTTAAGTTATGAAACACTTCCTATGAAATAAAAAGTGAATTTTCAAAATGGAAAAAGTTGAGGAATATATATGAAGTTTTAGGTTTATTTTTAAATTAAGACTCTCATGAGGTTGTATATGAAGTTCATCAAGAATTACAATCATGTTTTTATTTTATTGTAAGTTCAATTTACACTTTAGTTTTAAGTTTATACCATACAGATTAAAAAATATATATGTTGAAGCATTAATGAAAACCATGAAGCTTTATTTTGTTAAACCTATTATTATACCAGAGTTAGTTCAGTGTAAAATTATTTTTTTATTTTAAAATTCCAACACTGTCATGTAAATAATATAATATAATCTGTGTTGCTTTGTTTGGCTTCAACCTTTTGTTCTGCTCAGCTGCGTTTCATGTAATCTTTCACTGTCATGTTTGTTTGCATGTTCTTCACCTGATGATAAATAAACCAAGTTTCTGTTTTTCCCTGCATGTTTTTGTGTCATTGTGTTTTAAAGGGAGGTTTCAGGATGGGCACAGTACACATCCCTTTCTGTTTACATATTTTTAACAGCTCATTTGCAGCTACAGTTTTGGTCCCAGCTGTTTAACAAAGTTTGTTTTATTTCTCTAAGCAGTTCTGCTCGCAGACACTTAAAATATGAGTTCATTTCAAAACCGCTGGCTTTATTAGCTTTGCTTGCGAGTATTCAGACATTTTCATAAGGAGGATCAGAACGTAATCAGTGGAGTTTAAAAGCGGGTCAAAAGGAAGTACAGACTTGTTTTTATCCTCCCTTTCATTTCAGCCAGTAGATAATTCAGCATGTTTCCTGTTATAGAACAAAGACATGTAGACAGACCGAATGAGTGGAATAAAGATTCAAAYGCTTTCAGGCGTTGTGTGAGAATGAAGCAGCATTTTAAAGTTTGTCACACAGATTTGACATTTATCCAAACTTGAGTTAATACAATGCTCAGCAGGTCAGACTTTGTGTTTTTGGTCTGATCCACTGCTGGAAGGTCAKTGCCTTCAGAACATGTCCCTTCTCTTGACTGCTTGTCTGTAGGATGATGAAGCACTGATGATCGATGACTTTGCTGAGTCGGATCAGCTCTGGGTAAGGCCAGTGAGTAAGCCCCGCCTCTCACAAACACAGTGGTGTTGGTCAGCTGGGACTCTAACACGCGGTTTGATAAAAGCATCAATCTAGCTCTGTGTGCTCATGTGGTGGTGGGACATTTTGGTTTGGTTGTGGGGGTGTGGGAAGTCATTTTGTTTCTACTTGTCATGTAACAATTGCTTACCCAGTGTCTATTTGTGTCTATTTGTTGCAAGAATTTCTTTAGTGTCGCCAACCCCTCACTAAGAAAAATAGCTAATAGATTTCCTTAAAGTCTCTAGAAATTGTTMAATTACATCACCTACTCTGCAGAGTTGGCCATGTGCATAGAAATTGTAATAAATGCTGAGGGAAAGAGGAACATGAGAGAAATTAAAGTTAAAAAAATAGCCTAAATTTACTTAGAACAACAAACTTTCTTCTGTTTGTTTCCTTTTTGTCTCATCTCAATGCTTCTCCTTCAGGATCAGATTCTGGGACTGACAAAATTTCCCCAAAAGAGACACTTTTCATATTTGAGTGCAGTGATTTATTAAAGGAAAAAATAAAAATTGCTAGGGGTTCAACAGTACATGTATCTTTATCGAATCGCTCAATACAGTGATTTAAGTTCAACACGTGTATGGAACAATAAAGATTTTTAAAATTTATTTTATCAGTTTGTCTTCTGAAGATGCTCTGTGTTGAAGGATCAGTGGATCTGTGTTCAACTACTCAGCCTAGGCTGCATTGTCGACTGCAGATCCACCGAGAAACTTACTGTTTCAGCAACATTTTAGGTTAAACAATTGTTTATGTTTTCAATAAATTGCAAATTAAGAAGGGCCACAGACATTTCTCTTTTTTGTGTTGAAGAAATATGAGACTAAAGTATCRAACCGAACCGTGAATTTTCTTTATTGTTGCACCCCTAATACTTRTATATAAGTTRGGAATCAGACATTAGCAGCTTGGAGGGGTGCTGCGAGTGTCCAAAGCTCAATGAGAAGAATAAGAGCAATACAATGTTTTAGTCTCCAAAAATTCTCCAACCAAACTGGAACATTTGCAGATTTTTCACTTGTTGTATCCAAATATACAGGAGAACGACACGGTTTATATTCTGACCCATGCTTGAGATTGATTCACTTATTTTTAGCCTTTTGACTATTTTGATTCATTTGTTCACAGGTTTTATGTTTTCTAAAGAAATAAACTTTAATTCTTATGTTGTAATAAGTGAGTTAAACTTAGTCCAGGGTCCAAATCTTGTTCTAAAATTCTGTGTTATCTAGTCAATTGCCATATTTTTTATTTAAAACAGAATGACTAGAGGTTGGAAAGAGTCTTGTGAATCCTAAGCAACCTAAAACAAAAACCAGTTTTGTCTGATTTTAAAGTCAGATTTAAAAAAAAAAAAAGTCTCTTCATATTGTGTATGTAGATTTCTGAATCCAACCGTATGTAACCTGACTAAAGCCTGGAACATGTTTACTGTGATGATATTTTTACAAACCCACCCATGTTTGTCCTGCTACATTCTCGATGCTGATCTCGTGTGTTTGAGTGTTTCTTCTCTTTGTGGCTTTTCTAGGATCCTATGTTTGCTGCTACTTTCTCCCCTCCTCCACCTGAACTTCCTTTCCATCTTCCTTCCCTTGATGGCGCAGCTGGCCAGGTAGGAGTGTGTACCAGTTCCTGTCTGCATGGCCTGCTTGCTTGCCTACCCACATACTTCATTAAATCAATTAAAATCATTCAGCACATTTTGAAGCCAGCTTTTGAACTTACATCAGCTCTTTGACTTTAAAGGCCCTGTTCTGAGATTAAGCTGATTCTTCGTGGTTAATTAACTTGACTCCCCTCCCAGGTTTACTGCTTTCACAGCTTCCTGGCAAATGTTTGTGGCAGAATCACTTAAAGATCACTGCTGCTTTGTTTATCACAGACACCTTGCTTCTGTTATATCCAGCTTCCTGTTTCWTGTACTTGTTGTTCAGAGCATGGCCACTTTGTTTCATATTTTCATCCTCATTTCCTAATTTCATCCTTTCCTACCTTTCCTTATCCATCGTTCTGGTTGTGAAGGCCACCAAATCTCCCAGGGCCTTTCAGGTGGATCAGAGGCACCCGTGGAGACGGAAGGTGACCCTGTCAAGCTTTGTCTCATCACACTCATCCTGTTCTCTGCTGGCAACACTGACTCACTCAGCAGTGGAACTTCATATGAAATCTGTACTATCGCTTATTTTTTAAACTGATCTGCTAAAGTCATATTACTCTCATTTTAACATCATAACTAACCTCAAAAGACTGTTTGCTTTGCCACTTTCTGTAAAATCCCATATTGAGCCCACTGTTTGTTAAAATAATGTTTATCACTATTTTTGTTAAATTGTTGGACGGATTTCAATGGTGGAGCACATACAGCAGCTTTAAAAAATAAACCAATACGATGCCACTGAGTTGTAAGAAAATTCGTATTCAATAAACTGAAGTCTATATTAAAAACACCATTGTTAAATAAAATGATTTGTAGAAGGAATCAAACCATACAACACCAGAATTCTTGATCTGAGTGAGGTTTATTGTCACCCAAGCTGACAGGAAACAAACACTGGCGAAAAACCAGGAAGTTCATCAATTTATACAKGTTCTTCAATGCCTGCGTTCGCCCCCTACTGACCTACAGCTGAATCACAGGCATTCARACAAAATYCTCAGCTAATGTYATCACAACGTTTAATTATGTGTTGTTATATAATTCGAACATGTAACTAATCTATATCAATCAAAACATAATAGATTAAACATTGTCATCATTACAAAAAGGAAAACCTAAAAATATAGTGTTGTGCTTTKAACATCAGTACTAACCTCTAATAACTATAAATTTCTTCAGAGTGATGCAGTGTAGTGTTGATTCTTTTAATTGGCCCTAATAGCTGTCATCAGAATTGAGTTAAATGTTCTTGTTTTCTCAGAGAACCACAGAGGTTGAGATGGACAGCCAGAGCACGGAGACACACATGTCCATCCAGGACAGGAAGCAGCTCATCGTGGCTCAGGAGGAAGCCTGGAAGACCAAAGGTCACGGAGCCGCCAACGACTCCACCCAGTTCACTGTGGCAGCACGCATGGTGAAGAAAGGTCAGAGGAACACACGTTCTGTAGCTCAGGGTTGTTAAAAGTGAAAATTGAGTCATATTTCAGTCTCGGCTCAAATGCTTTAAAGTTGAGAAAAATATGTCTGCACCAGTTTTCCTGTTCCAAAGGTGCAATCATAGATACTTTACAGATCATATTTAACCTGAGAAATTATCCATAAAATGAGGGGGCTTTTATTATACATGAGTGTAAATTTTGACCGACTTTTCAAGTGGACTACCACAATAAGTTTCAATATTTTCTTATGACTGAAATATTGTAGCCTGGCCCTTGCCTTCCTACGCAGCTCTGCTCAATTCTAGTTTTCCTTCTCTGCTCCGTCTGGGACTTCTCCCATWGAGAWGGRTTTCGCTGGCAGATTTTTAGCCGAGCCAATCAGAGAACAGAACRTTGATTTTCTGCGCAGTGTCTGCTTGTAGTTTATTTTACCTGGGCCAATCAGCAAACAGAAGGCGGAGTTTTGAACGACGTTGATTTTCTGCGCAGTGTCTGCTAGTTAGCTAGCAATGTCAGTGGAGGAAGTGAATGAAGCCAGTCTGTGTTGATAAGGCTTCCAAATTAAAATAAATTTATCTGACAAAGCAGCAGCTCTCATTTACAGTCGTCTCGTTCAGCTCRGTACTTCTCTCCTCTCATTAGGGTTGTTTACAGCACACACGATTTCTGGTTAGCTTCTTAGCTTAGCCTCCTTCACAGCGACACACACATGCTTCAGCAGAGGCCACGCCTCCTGCAAGAATTGCTTCTCTATAGCAGCGAGTCCAGACCCTCTGTACGAAGCAAAGTAAAGGACAGGGTCTGGTTTAAACTAGGCTAGAAATATTGTGTTGCGAAGAATAAATCATCATTTCTCTCCTGCCGTACGTTGCGCTAAGCGAATCATATAAACAGCAGTAGTTATTTTTTTCACACCTGAGTCGGAGGAGGAAGAACTGGGTTTTTTAAATTAATTAATAAATTAATTAATTAATTAATTAATTAGTTTTTTTGGGGTGGGGGTGAAAAAAATGTAGATGTTGGTTAGGGCTGCCACGATTAATCGATTAATCGACAACTAATCGATTATTAAAATAATCGTTTGTGGCAGCCCTAATGTTGGTTGCACGTTTGCTTGTTTTTTCAGTGACATGCATAGCAAGAAGCACGAGCTGCTCCTACCATCATACATATGGCAACTATCAGACCTTCATATTATCAGCAACATWAAAGATTAATGTTTTTAACCAATGTTGTCCATAAGTTTGCCACTGAATATATAATTTTCTACATCACCCACTAAGACTTCAACAATAAACATCAGAGCCGTTTGCTTCTTCTTGTATATTTGTTTTGATATTTTGAACGTGTTTGTGTTTCTACAGGACTTGCCTCTCCCTCTGCTGTGCACTCTAATGTGCTGACCAAACCTAAACACAGCAGTCTTCCTGTATCCAAACCACAGGAAGGTCAGTTGAACTGATTTTAAAGTTTTCACCTTGTGCTCATTACACTGTTGGCCCCTGGTTATCTGTTATGTAATGCTGATGTCCTGTGGTGTCCTTTAGTTCATTCAGTGGAAATAATGGAAAGTTCACTTTCTGCTCCTTTAAAGAGTCGTACCCAATAACATGACTAGTTACACCCTCGACTGTCAACAGACACATTTTCCAAAATGCGTATAAAACTATAAATTGTAAATATGCTAAAATACATTGTATCATCATCAAGTTTAGTTATAAAGCACATTTTAAAAACAAGTTATCAACAAATTGCTGAACACAAGGCAAAAATCAATATAAAAGCAAACAACGTACTTAAAAGCAAAAAAGATAAAAACACCTACAATAAATACAAAACTCACAATTAATCAAAAATCTGAGAGGAACATGTGTGTTTTTAAAAGAGATTTAATAACAGGAAGTGATGAGGCCTGGGGGGGCAGATCGTTCCAAAGCTTGGGAACCATGACTGAAAAAGACTGATGTCCTCTCAGCTTCACCCTGGTTTTAGGAACGACCAAAAGCAGCTGATCAGAGGATCTCAGTGCCCGAGAAGGACTGTACAGTTGAAGTAGATCAGCAAGATAGCAGGGCGCAAGGCCATGTTGGCATTTATAGGTGAGCAGGAGAATTTTAAAATCTATTCTATAACACACAGGGAGCCAGTGAAGGGAGGATAAGACCRGTGAAATATGCTCAAACCTGCAAGTTCCTGTTACAAGCTGAGCTGCAGCGTTCTGAACAAGCTGAAGAGTGAAACTGAGACCTTTGGATGAGTCAAGGGGAAACAAGTTACTCGTGTTCTTCAAACAGGGCTTGAACCTGAAGCCTAATCTATAATGTCTTTAAACTGGTGTAACTATAAACAGTTTGCACAAAAAAAATCTTAAATTAGTTGTTGTCTTGGCCTATTTAAAATATATATTATTGGAAGGAAGATGTTTAGAACTGCTTTCAGACTAATTTAATCCTACAACCCCAATTCCAATAAAGTTGGGACATCGTGTAAAACTATATAAAAGAAGAATAGAATGATTTGCTAAACCTTATATTTAACTGAATACATGACAAAGACAAGATATTTAATGTTCAAATGGATAAACTTTGTGTTTTGCAAATATTCAGTCATTTTGAATTTGATGCCTGCAACATGTTCCCAAAAAAAAGAAGAAGCTGGTACAGGGGCAACAAAAGAAAAAGCATTTAAAAAGTTAAGTGTTTGTTGTGTTTGTTCAGAGATCAAAGTTGTGTCAGATCTGAACCTGGAGTCGGACAGAAACCTGGACAAGCTGGAGACGTTCCTGGACAAACTGAACAGTAAAGGTGAGCCCAACACAAGACGTTGGTCCAACCTGCTGGTTTCTAATTGAGGGATCAAGAAAATAAAATTTGAGATGCAGTCAGGACGTCAAGTATAATTTTCTGCAGGTTTTATCAGTTTAAAACTGTTGGTTAATGTTGTTTTGTTGATTTTATTTATACTGCGTGAAAAAAGACGAAATACACAGCAACGTATTATGTTTCGTTCATGTTTAGTGTCTGGACTACCTGAAGCTACCGTCACTGTGACGCAGAAGAAAGTAAAGGAAGTGATGAGCCTTGAAGATGAAACCTTCTCCAGGTTTTATCGCCCWGTGGAGGATCTCACTGGAAACGCCACCAAGATGGAAATAGACGATGACTTTGATGCCATTTTTGACCCTCAGGTGCCAAAGTAAGTTCTCAGCGTTAGTGTTCCTGGTTAAAAATAACAAGAAGAAAAACTTTTAAGCCATGAGTGTGAAACTTGTTCCTGATAACCATCACCCTTGGCCTTCATGCAGGCTGACCTCTGCCATGGTGCAGCACAGGCTGGCGGTGCGACCCACACGCAACGTCCAGTCCTCCAGAAACCCTCTGAAGAAGCTGGCCGCCAGGGAGGACATCAGGCAGGAGTACACAGAGCAGAGGCTCAACGTCGGCCTGCTGGAGAGCAAAAGGATGAAGGCTGAAAAGGGTGAGTGAGGCTGATGCTCACAAAATATGATTGCTTTAAAGTTTTTATGCTGATAATGGAAAAAGCAATTGAGAACATCTATTTCTAGAAATCCCACCATCTGCATGACTAATTACTTGAACTGAGTCCAGATTAATACTTTAATAATTGCGTGTGAGGCTCTTTATTCAAATCTGCAGCCATTTAAAGTGTTAAGGACCTAAAAACTATATATTTTGCACAAATCTGTTTTTGAGACTTGCTTTTTTCATTTGTGTCACTTTTTTATTGACAGAGTTGTTTGTAACCACTGCAGATCATCAACCTCAGATACAAMATCAAAAACCATAAACGGTTGATATCTGATTGTTTTAATGTAAACTGGAATAAACTCCAGTGTTTAAAACTGTCTTGAAACCCTGGTGGTGTTTCCAAGCTGCATCATGAAGTTCCATCATCTCCTCTGACAGAACAAACAAACATCATGTTGGTTCTGTATTTGTTGCAGATATAGATTAGTGTGGAAGCCAAATTTGTTCAGATGTTTAGGTTCATAAATAAGTGTGATTTGTGTGCTTTTGTATAAAGTTTATTTTATTTAAATTAAGAAGGTAGTAAATAGGCAATTTCATTTAATAAGTTAATCTAAAAACCCATTTCATTGTATATGATGATTTAAATTTTTATTCTGTAAAGAAGATCCTTGTTTAGGTAAATTTATGTTAAAACAGTAAATAGGTTACTGTCACTTTAAGAGAAGCACTGCTAYGGTGGTAATATGGTGTTGGAACCAGTAGCTCTTCAGTTGAGGCTTGTGGAGCACCGAGCTATAGGTTGTTTTTTTGTTGTTGTTGTTTTTTTATTTTTTTTATCGTAGCAAAGTTTATTCAGAGGAAAGCTTGTTTGTGACTACTCCTGTAAGAAAACAGTAACTGTGGAATAATTTTTTTGTGTCTTTTAAGGAGTCAAGTGAAAGAGTTTACCTKAGTTTTACTTGTGCAGGTTCATGTCAAAGGTAAAGAAGCCTCAAACGTAACATTTAAGATTGGCTGATTTGTTAAAATATCAACCATCAGACATGGGAACCCATTGTAGTTTATTTTTTTTATGTTTTTAAGGATAGTTTTCCAATTTATGTAGCCATATTAACATCCATCCATCCATTTTCTTCCGCCTATCCTGGGTTTTCCTCGGGGCCTCCTCCCGGTGGGACGTGCCCGGAATACCTCACCAGGGAGGCGTCCAGGAGGCATCCTTACC